AAGCAATCTACAAAGAGAAAGCTAGAAACATAGGCAGTTATTATTTTCTTCATTGTAACCCTAGCAAGAGAACTTCAATGAGATATTAGACTAAAAGTAACAATGAGGGGGCAGCCCCAGTGGTGTAGTGGTTAAGTTCATGAGCTCCGCTTTGGCAGCCCCGGGGTACACAGGTTCGAATCCCAATTGCAGAACAACACATCGCTTATCAAGCCATGCTGTGGTGGCATCCCACATACAAAATAGAGGAAGATGGGCAGAGATGTTAGCTCAGAGCCAATCTTCCTCAGCAAAAAGAGGAAGATTGGCAACAGATATTAGCTCAGGGCCAATCTTCCTCACAAAAAAATAAATAAATAAAAAATAATTTAAAAAATAAATTAAAAAATAAAAGTAACAATGAGGATAAGACCAGATATAATAAATAAATCCCAGTACTAGCACTTTTGTAAATGGTTTTAACAGAAGCCTAATAATCGGTTTTATGACTGTGATATTTGGAGTATTTTTATTTCTTAAAGTATTTGAAGCATTTAAGAAAGTCTGATATAATGGATTTGTAATTTTAAAATATGATTTAGAATATGATAAATGTTTTAGAAGATTAAATAATTTTCCATCAATGGGAAAATGATTGGGGAAATGTAATTTGTAAGTCAATGAGTTTTGATTTATATTTGTGTAAGTGTTGTGTGAATATGTAGAGAAATACACAGCATTTAAAGTTAATGGAATGTTAATCATTTGATAAATTTGGAACAGTGATGAATGAACCATAAAACAAAGTACAGGAGTAGTAATTCTTCTCCATCCTCCAAAGCCCTCAAACATTAAAGAATTATTTGTGTACATGCTTGAAGCCCAGGCAATACTTTGTTGAGGACCCCAAAGTAAGAGTCTATGGCACAAGGGTTTGGGAAGGGGAGGAGTGGGAAGTCAGCCTCCATCCCAACCTGAGGATCCTCTGCCTCTTCCAGAGGCTGCACCCGAATAGGAGACTCAGTCCCAGCTGGCCACAGATTTTCACCTGTGACCAGTAGTGTGACATCCTTGTGTGGTGAGGGCCACCGCAGCAGCAGAAGTCTCAAGGGGCCTCAGAGGCATCAGCTGTGGTGCCTGATTTCTGGCTTCTGGGATAGGTCTGAGTTCTAATCCCACCTTGAGGCAGGATAAAACACAAACACAAGTTAACCACTTGGACACTTCTCGATTTATCCTGGCAGGGTAGAGCCCAGGAAGAAAGAAAAGATGAGCAGAGATTGGGGGCTTGAAGTCTTTAACTGGAATACCACAAAGAAAAATATGACCTTAATTGTACCCCAAGCAGATGAAGTTGGACCTATTGGTTACTTTTAAATCTGTGGTTTATTTGGAGAGCTGTTGTTTTGCCCCTAAGTGTCTATTCGCTTTTTTCTCCAGGTAGCTGTACCCCACTTCTCTTCTGAGGACCGCCTCTCCTCCATGCTCAGCACCTCTGTTCCTAGTGCCTGTGCTTTACCAGCGGGAATGTGATCAAGATCAGCCAATCAGAGCATCACTTGTAAAATCAGCCGTGAGCCTGGAGCTCCAAGGGCCGCCACGTGGGGCGCTAGAATGAACTCAACATAAAGGAAGGCTGAATCTGTCAGCTGGACAGGGGGAAACCAGCCCCTGGATCATGACAGTCTTGGAGCATTTCTTGGACTTTTCAGTTACTTGAGCCAATAAATTCCCTTTTGGGCTTAAATCAATTTGATTTGGATTTTCAGTCATTTGTTACCAAAAGGGTCCTAACTGATACAAGTGTATCTGAGTTCTTGGAAGGATCTGGAAATTTCACCATGGAGAGCAGCTAAGGAACTGGTGATGTAATCCTGAGAAGAGAAGACTCTAAGACAAGATAGCTCTCTTCAAATATCTTGTCGATGAATGTTACTGGAAGATAAATGTCTATTCAATAGGTAGATGAGTTTTCTAGTAACTAAAGTTGCCCAACAAAGGGGCCAACTCCTTCAAACGGAGGTGAACTCCCCATTAGAGGAACAATCTAGTCAAGGATGGATGATGGCCTGACAAGGATGTTGGCACTGAGATTCCTTCACTGGGTCGGAAGCATGAATCTCAAATGACTCTTCTGACTCTAACAGTCAACGGAAAGTAGGAGAAGATACAATCACTAGGGAAAATGAGCGGAAGCGCTGCAAAACTCTGCAAAGCCCTGGCTTGATCAGTGAGAAGCTTTGGTGTGAATTCTTTGAATCAGATTTGATCTGTAGCCCGATGCTCCATAGCAAGAGAATCAACATGGAATTCAGAGGCATCGCTGGAAAGCATAGAGCGCTAACCACTCCCCTCTCCTGTAACACAAGTTGTTGAAATGGGAATTCTATAGTTGGTTGGCAATGATGAGTTTGCAAAGCTGCTTCTGTTGACTTGACCAAGATGAGAGTGAAATAGGGAAGAGACCAGCCAGAAGCTGGTTGGGAATGAAGGATTCTACACACACCTGCATATATGTGTGACTGTGGAAGGGACCAGGGTCAGCTCAGGTCCCACATCCTGTTACCAATCAGTGATCCCTGCACCGATAGGCACCTAGTGTTAGGTGCCTAGAGATTGAGCTGGGCATGGAACAGTTAAATTTTCCTTAGTATGGCAGGATGGTTATTTTCACCACATAATCTACATCTCTGATGCCTTCCTCTCCCCCCAGTTCATTACACTTCAGTCACTTGGACTTTCTTTCAATTCCTCAAGCACACCTAGCTCATTCCCATCTTAGAGCCTTGGCCTTGCTTTTCCATCCACCCAGAAAGCTCTGCTTCGAGGTCTTTGTATGGCTGGCTTCTTGGGGTTGTTCGGGTATTAGCTCAAAAGGCACCTCCTTGGTGAGTTTTTTCCCGACCACCAACCCAAATTAGCAACTCTGTCCCCAACACATGCCCCTGCCCAAAGAAAGCCCATCCTCTCCATCACTCTATCTGTTTTATTGTCTTCTTGAAACTTATTCCTATTGGAAATTGTCTTGCTCATTTATTTCCTGCTTGTTTATAGTCTTTCCTCTCCATGAAAGCATAAGCTCCCTGAGAGCAGGGACATTGTATGTTTTGTTCACTGCCACACCCTCAGCTCTTAAAACAATTCCTGGCACACACGTCATGAATGTTTGTTGAATGACTAAATAATGTAATGAACATACTCTTTCCCACCTTGGTCTTGGAGAAACTTCCTCTTATATAACATAATGTTTTCTGAAAGATAGAGCAAGTGAGTGAGTGGGACTCAGATAGAAAGAGACACATCTGTTGAAAGAACTCATCCCTGGTATGGCAACTTGCCCTTTAATTGGCTTAGTATGCTGAGGTGACCAAGGAGGAAGGGAACACAAGACTTTATCTTCTGTGAGCACATCTTACATACTCTACGACAGTGAGCTGACCTTTTTTAAGGGAGCCACGGCTCAGCAACAACCAGCTCATGGGATGGTTGTCTCTCCTCTGGTCCTTGGTGAAGAAAGGATAGACTGAGCCTCCCACCTCCACTCTGAGAAAGCCCAGCGATCCTTAGCTGAACTCAACTCTTGAGTGTGGCTTTTGTTTTTCCTCTCGGTATAGACAAATAATTACTTGCTAGCATGCCCAGTGCCTGAGATCACTGATAGAGGATGGCTTTTAAAGTATGAATGCACATCACCAAAGCTGGGCTTGGGTCACCTTCCAAAGGACTTTGCCCCATGGAGACCTTCTTTCAGGACCTCGGGAGAAGGAGCCCTGTAATTACTTAAATGAAAGAAGATGGGAGGAGTACCCTTTGGAATGTCATCTCACAGGCTCTCCTGAGTAATCTCGGGGCACCCTAAACATGCTGGCCAACACAGATAGAGCTGGCTTTAGCCTCTTGGGGAAGTCTGGGGGCAGGGGGTTGGGGCACAGTCTTCCTAAAAGAAATTAAAAAAAAAATCTTGAATACTGGAATGGCATCTCTAGGACAGGGGCAGATATTCAGGAGGGACGGATTGCTCTGTGACAGAGTGAGAGGGTGAATAGACACACCACAGGGACCATGCCCATTAGAAAGATGGCTATGGGAGGTATTTTTTTGTCTAGAATACTAAACTGTTGAGATATCTGTTATTTCTTAATTCACTTTTGTAACTGCTGTAAGAATATGGTTCACCCTGCATTCACTCACTCATTTATTCATCAACCAATATTATCGAGTTGCTCTTATGTTTCAGGCACTATTTTGGTTCTAAGGAGTCAACTCTGAACAGGACAGACAGAGTCTCTTTGCTCATTGGGCTTACCTTGTAGAGGTGAAGACAGACATTTAAGAGATATTTGCACAAGTAATTAACAACAGATATGAATTTATATGTAGGCAAGTTGGCCAGATGAAAAGAGGGTCTCACTGCCAGTTTCTTCCTTGTTGTCCTCCACCTGTTGAAAAACCCTGTGAGTAGTGGGGGTGGGGGACGGATAATGGTCAAAAGAAGAAGGTGGGCACCAGGCCTGGATCCCAGGCTCCCTATACCCTTGCAGAAAGGGCCTAGGTTTGGGGAGGCACAGAAACCAGGGGCCCACACCTTTCCCCCACTTACTCCGGCTCAAGCCACGCTCTTATGGGCAAGTGGCTCTGGGCAGGCCTCTTTTGGCCCACTCCCCACCCCCACTCACAAGCCATTTTTTCCCCTCTCTGCCAACAGCTGAAAAGCCACACGTGGTTTTTCTAACACAGACTTTCTCACAAGTTATGTCAGTTCAGGTCCTCCAGGGAGCAGACACTAAGATGGAGTTAGGAGTGCAAGAGATTTGCTGGGGGAGATGACAATGAAGGAGGAAGAAGAAGGAGTAGGAGTAGGCAGAGAGAGCATTCAGATTGCAATATGGTTCTGACCCCCATGAAAGGAGAGAGGAAAGGAAGGAGAATTATATAGGAAGAGACTCAGAGCAGCACAGCCCCAAGAAAATCTTGGCCTGCCCAATTGAGACCTCTGGAACAAAGACTGCCCATTAGAGGAGTCCTGCATTGGACAGAAATTGTCAGCCCCTAGTGCTCCTGCTACACACAGTCATTGGCTATTGCTGCCCAGGAGAGTGTGGCCTCAGCTCAAGCACAGCGACAGATCCTGAGGCTGGAGGCTGTCAGCTCACTACCCTCCTATCGATAAGTTCCCTCTTGAAGAGAGAGCTGAGCGGCACACTCCCAGAGCTGCCACACAAGGTCGGCTTGTGGCGGTGCTCTCACCACAGCTCCATTCTCGATTGCCATGGTTGATAGCCAAGCAAAAGTTTCCGTAAGCAGAGCCTTTGGCCTCCAGGGAAGACAGTCGGGATGAGATGGGGGAGGTGGGCACAAAGGGCACAGATAGGCCCCTGGGGTTTGAGGAGACACCAGAAACATTGTTAAGCCTCGAGCGGTGCCCACTTCAATGGCTGAATGGACAGCTGGGGGTGGGAAACCCCAGCAAATGCTAGCCAGGGAGGCAAGAAGAGGCTGACCGCCAGGGACAGCCACAGTGGACAAGCCAGTGATGGGGATGCAGGATGAGCTGTACATTCCTCACAGATAGGCAGCCCAGCCCACAAGTTTAGCACCTCTTCCTCGATTCCTATATTCTCCTCATGGGAAATCTAGACACCTTCCTCTATAGACACTTATCTGCATCCAATGGAGTCTATCCTTCTGATCCTCAATAGGTTATTAACTGATATTAAAGAAAAAACTTGAAAACTGATTGATAAAAAAATCCAAGAGTTGAGCTGAATCTATGTAAAACTAATTGTCATATTTCTCAAAATAGATGAGAACCATCATCTTAGTCATACATTTAGCCTAAGTTGATAGTTCTCTGAAAAACTCATTCTGAATTTCACATCCAATGTTAAGAGGCCCTTGGACACACCAAAGATTATATAGTATCATGAACTGAGGAGTACGCTGAACTAAAATCTCTGTATCTAAGGTGCAAAGATAAAATAAAATGAAATAAAACAATGCTGACCCAATGAGGGGACCCCACGCTTTTGAGCACCCCGCATATTACATACACAAAACCTAAACATCCACCCTCTTGAGAAGCACCATTTAGAGTCCAGGAAAATCCATCTCCAAACCTTTTGCTCTGAAGCCTCAGACAATGGTGGACTGTGTGACTGCTATGAAGGTGTGGCTTCGGAGATGGGCAGTGTGCTTAGATCAAGAAAAGAAAATTAACAACCCTTCCTACCCAACCCTTCCTCTCAGAGACCATGAATGCAATAGAACCTTGCATAACAGAATAAGATTCCCAGTAGTGCCTGGCATCCACTTTCTTGCTTCTCTTCGTGTTCCAATGTGTGCTTCTGGATGCTCTCATTGATCAGTGCTGCATTCACAGCAGTTGTATATATATGGTGGCTAAGGAATGTTTTGCAACATTATATAATTCAGATTGCTATTAAATTTGGTTGTTAGCTAGATTTATAATGTTTAAGTATGTAGGCCTTCATTTGCACTCTTGAACTTGTTCCCACAAATGTGAGCAGCAGGCCTGGACAGACAGTGGTACGCAAGCAAAAGTCAACAAAAGGATCCCTGTAAATTGGGCCAAATTTCATGAAAACATTCCCATGATGGATCATTAGCAATGATGATCATCACAGCAGCAGTTCCATCAATGCACCCGAAGGCACTGGGTCCTACACATTTTGCTCTGGTAATCAGCTCTTTGCCCCATTCTGCGCAGTATGTCTGTGTGCGGGCTAAGCGCTGGGAGGAGCAGCCTTCACGCCCTCGCTCTCGGCAGCCCCTAGTGGTAAAGGAAGGACCACTTCTTGTCCTACAATGCAGAGAATCTGGGCTCTCCGAAAGTCTGCTCCCTAGATGTTCCGAGGGGGTTCCCAGGAACCATCCCCTGTGGGCTTTAGAGGCAAGCCTCAGACATGCTTCCAGACAGCCTCCTCACTCATCCTTAGCCCCAGCACTGCTGCCCCTTCTGCCCACTGTCCTTGTGAAGGCATCTCTCTGCTGGTGGCTGGGCTGAGCCCTGCCAAAGCTCTGCTGCAGGGCCCAGCCTGGAGACCTGGTTCTTCTGTTGGCTCCTTACACCATGAACAGAAACCTCTCCTCCACTGCTGCTCCACACCTCTCCTTGGAGAGCCCCCAGGCTCAGCCCTTCTGCAGAGTCCCTTATTATGCTGGCTTCTCCCAGCTCCCAGACATCCTCCAAGGATAGGGTCCTCTTGCAGCATCCTCCATCTGGCTGTTCACCCTCACCCCACCCAATCCCCAGGAGTCTCCATGGCACATGCTCAGCCCAGAGAGATCAGGTCTTTCCCTTCTGGCACCACCAGTGGGAGTGCTGAATGGGTCCTTTCAAATTAGACACTTAGTCTGCCCCCAATATGACCCTTTCAAAATGGTCATTTTTCTCAGTTTTAAAGGAAAAGAAAAAAAAGCCATGCTAAGGTCCAATTTCACTGCATACTTTGTTACACATCCAACAATCCACTTGACATTTTCTCACCTGCCAAAGATCTCCATTTCCAACCTGTTCCTCAGAGTTGGGCATGCTCAGGAGGGGAGATCAGCGCCAACACCCACTAGACGTCACACAGCTCTGAGGAGAAGTTCTGGAGCCTAGTTCTGGAGCACAAAGGAATATAAGGCTGCCTGCACATATCCAAACTGTCAGAGTTGGAGGACCAGGGAAACCATGTAGCTTGGTGCCCTAATCTTACAGGTGGGGAAATTGCGGTGCATAAAGGAGAAGCAACTGACCCAGGTCACCCTGGAGTCAGTGGCCGGGCAGGAGCTCTGACCCATGGCGCTTTCCATAACAGAAAGTCTGTGGACTATGTTCCCGGGAGAAAAGCCCACACTTCCTTGGTAAATAGGAAGTGACTGCCAGGGCCTTTTCATCACCCTGAAGGAGGATGATGGCCAGGAAGTGTGGGCAGAAGACTTTGGACAGTCTCCAACCGAGCTGGCTAGCTGCAGACTTATTTGGCCTAGAGCAGAGGAAGGAAGTGTGAGAGCAGGAGGAGAGGAAGGGGCAATGGGGATTCCCCCTCTGCAGCCTCTGCTCTCTGCCCCCGCCTCCCTCCCAGGTCCTGGATCCACACTCCCCTCCTTCCCACAGCAAACATCCTGCCTAGCCTTCCCCACTGTTTTATCACCTGGGCCTCCTTCTGAGCAGAAAAGGGAAAAGTGAGAAGATGCTCAGGAAAGTAAAGGAAGTGGGTGATAAGTAGGTGAGATACACATCTGATACAGTGATACAGTGAAAGCACTTGATACAGCTCCCCAGGAAGAAAGATCTACAGCCCCTCTGCTGACTGTGGAGAACCTTGGAGCAGTGGTTCTCAACCTTGGCCACCCACTGGACTTTCCAAAGGAGCTCTAAAAAATACAGATGCCTAGGTCCATCCCAGAGACTGACTTATTTTTTCAGTATAGCCTGAGCATCAAGATTCATAAAAGATCCCTTGATGATTCTAATGTGTAGCCAAGGTTGAGATCCAGTTCTTAGAAGAAAAGGCCCTGGTCCATCTCATATTGGGTTCTCTGCTTCAAGAAGAAGCAAATAACGTTTAGATAGAAAATACTCAAATCCTCTTCCCATCCTAAGTCTCAGGCTGCACAACAGAAATTATAATTGTTCTAGCCTGAAGTGTCATATTTTCTGCTGAAATCCCTTTCTTGGCATCTTGGGCCTCTGCTACCACTGTCAAATCTCCACACTTCACATTCTCCAAAGTCCTTTCCAGTTCCCAAAGTCCCTTGGTATGTGGCTCTATGAGAAATGTTTAGAGTTACCACTGCTGTGAATGTGATCTTTAAAAAAAAAAAAAAAAAAATCTTTCCTTTCTAGTCCTGACAGAGTAACTGGTACCAGACTTGTCCTCCCACTATAAAAAATGAGAAAATTGGACAAAATATATGAAACAGCTGTTTCCAAATACTGGACAACAAGCAGTGCAGGACCATGATTAAGGAGAGTCAGAAACAAAGTGAGCCCTATGACTGCCCTGGCTTTCTGCCAGGATCTGCTTTTCCAGAGAGTGGTGCAGAAAAAGGAACACAAGCATAGCACTGCAGGCTTGCCAAGTTACGCAGACAGAGATCCGGGTTCAGAGAGTCTGAAGCAGCTGGAATTTTGGGGGTGGAGTACTAGAGAGGAAAGAACTATGCAGAGAAGGACTTCCAGGAATCTAGAGAGGAGTCTCCTTGAGTCTATTGCAAAAACTAAGCTGTGAATGTTTAGGGTGAAACTTCAAGAGGCAGTGCAAAGAAGTTCTGGGAATCTGTATGCTGAATAATCCCCAGAGCTTACACAGAGCTGTGAGATAGTAGAGATTCAGCCAGAGAGAAGAGAGCCCACTGGACACCTGGGACACTCAGTAGAGATCCCAAAAGGCTTACATCTTAGTAGCAGGGCTAAAATAGACCTAAAGTAAAGGCTATTTTAGACCTGCCTTAACAAAGCTTAAAAGCAAACCTTCAAAAAACTAAACTGATCCTAAGGTCCTTAAGTGCATGCCAAAACAAAGTTCAATATTCTTTAAAAGGAAAAACAAAAAGCATCCCATCAAAAAGGCAACTGTGACCATGGCTAGCACCCAATAAAAAATTACTAGACATACAAAGATGCAGGAAAATGTGACCCATCACTAGGGGAAAAAAATCAGTCAGAAATGACAGAGATTTTGGAATAAGAAAACAAATATGTTAAAACAGCTATTATAAATATGCTAATGTAAATAGACATAATGAGAAAAGAAATGGAAGATATGAAAGAGGACAAATAAGAAACTCTAGGGATAAAAAATACAATGTCTGACATGAAAATTTGTTGGATGGAATTACCAGCAGATTAAACACTGCAGAAGAAAAGGCAAGTGAATTTGAAGATGTAACAATAGAAACTCAAAGCTAACACGTGGAGAGAAAAGAACAACTGCAAAAAATTAACAAAGCCTACGAGCTATGGAAACATGTCAAGTAGTTGAACATATGTGTAAGGGGCTGGGGAGCAAAAAAATACTTGGAA